TGAAAGCCAGAGAACATAGCTGCGAGCGACAAAAGGCGAACACGTCGGTGGAGGCTGCTCCCAAGAAGTGCTCTGCAGCCTCAGACGACATGGCTGCTTCCACGCGGCTGCTTTTGTTAGTCGTCCCCGCCGCTGACCCCCCGGGCTGGGCTCCGGCCTGAGGCTCCAGATGCACGCTGTGCTGAAGGTGTGGGGCGGCGCAGCGCCTACGAGCCGAGGCTCGATTTGCTCACAGCTCAGCTGCACCCTCCCCACCCCCCCCTTTGTTCTTCCCGTTCAGTGTCAGGCTCGCACGTCCAAGCAGCATTTTGCTGGGAACTCTGACACTTGGAAAGACCCCCCCCGCCCCAGCCCTGCACTCTTGGGGGGAGTTGTTGCCGTTCCGCTGGAGACTGTGCAGCCTGTTTGTCCCTGGAGACCAAAAGGAGGTGGCCAGTGGATGGACACTAAGGCCTGGCTTGGCGGGGCGGCCCCTCTCCGCTTGGCACCTGCGTTAGGTCTCGTACGCTGACTACCGAATCCCCGTTGTCCAGCCCTACACATTTTTCTCTCGCTCGACCCGCGTTTCTCTTCCTTGTCGGGACTCGCCACGCCCGTTTAGTTCGAGGGGCAACTCCGCCCCCAGCGAACCAGCCTTTGCTGCCCTTCGCTTCCTAACATGCACGTTTCCCAGCCAGGGGATATTTTCCTCCCTTCCTCCGCCTGTGCTAGATCTCTTGCAAACACACCATCTTCTGGGTGCCAAGCTCCGGCTCCTGCGAGAACCAACGCAGCTCCAGCATGTGCTGTGCGTGACAGCATCGATCTGGGCGCGGAACCACTCCCGTCTCCCCCACTTGGGTCCCTCCTTCGCGCTGGAACTGTTCGGGATCGCAGCTGGCTCGTGCACTTCCGCGGGGCTGCTCTCGCTTTTTATTATTTTTAGATCATATTGGCCTTGTTTAACCTTGATTTCCTTCTCTACCCCCCACTTACATCCTTTTGGCCCTGGAAGTCTCTCTGGTTTCTTACAGCCAGCCCAGCTCATCAAGAAGAAAAGGGGCTCTTCCAGAGTTTAATTCTTCTTGTTAAAATTCCACTCCCTCCTCCATATTACAAACGCTTTGTATAACTTTTATGCCTCCTTCAGTTGTGATGTTATTGCTCTGTCTAGTCCTGATTGATCGTTAAGTTATGCTGGCTTTTAAAGTACTGCCTCCATAATGCTGGAGCAAAGACTTTGTATTTGGCATGCTCCTTGCCTTTGGAATGCCTCTCCTGGCAAGATCAAGAATTCTGGTTTGACTTGGATTCTTATGTTAAAATTCAAAGCTCATTTGTTCAGTTAAGGCTTCTACTTAGAAGCAGCTTTCGCTTCTTCTCCCTGTTAAGTGCTCTATGATGCTGCTTACATGAAGGGTGTGTTGTAAGTGCAAGATGTAATATGGTTATATAGTACTGGATTACCAGTTTTCAACAACAGCTGTGCATATTCACTAGGAGTGTAAGGAAATATCAGAGGATAATATAGCATTGCTATTTATTACCCTATAATTAACGTTCTGACAGTGCTTCTATTATAAAACCTTATTTGCAAAGCTTCATACGTCTGTGGCAAAATTTCACTTCAAGATGAAGCCTAGTTTAACACGGTGAAGCATTTTTAAAGTATTTTAGTAAAAATGAGTTTAGCCCCATTACAGGGTAGTATTCCCCTTGAATTTTTCCAATTTAAGGTGCTCCTTGATGTCTGCACTGATTCATCTGAGCAAAGGAAATGTGTTGCCTTTAAAAATATAAATGAGGGATAGAATCTGTCCTGTTACTCTGGAGCATACCCCTTGGAGATTTATACAGGTGTAATGGAGAAGCAGAATTTGCTTAATGCTGTTCTTTTATATGCACAGGCTACTGGTGTCAGTATAGAAAAATCCAGCATCCTGATTTACCACAGGTTTGTGCAAGGTCAGAGGACACAGGGCATAAAACATGGATGGCAGCATATCTATACCAGGACTCCCAATGCTACCAACATGAGACTGAACTGGTGCTAGCAAGGGCCAGAACATTTTGCAAAAATTTCCATTGTGTAGACAGAGCTGTTCTCTTCTTCTACAGGAGAAGGAAAAATAATTTCCTTATGGAACAAACCTGCATTCCCAGAACACTCAAAATAGGCAGTAACTTAAACGGACATGCAAGGAGTGTAGGCTCAGAGCCCTAGTGTATTACAGGTGAAGATGGCAGAGAGCTATCTATGGTGAGCCACTGGTGTAAGACATTACAGAAAAGCATTTAATCAAAGATCAAAAGGGCAATTACTAGACCTGCAGTGAAACTAACAATTTATATCAAAGAACTCGCAGTTCCTATTTCAATGTAGATGAAACAATAATAGATACAAGATAAACAAAGGCAAGGGCTGATCCTGCAGCTCTTACTTGCATGAGTAGGTCAGTAAATATAGACTACTCATATGAGTATGGACTACAGCACTGAAAACCAAATTTTGTATCTAGAACATTTTTAAAGTAAAAGCTTTAGAAGAATTTGTGCAGAATGGCTGACTCTTAATTGGTCCTGAGAAACTACTAAAAACGCCAGCAAACACACACTTTGTGATTGTTTCACACTATAGCAGCACCCAGGCTGCAGGCCTCTTTTGGTGGAAATCCTCTTCTTTGGGGATTGAGGGGAAGAGTACTGGCTCAAACCTCTCACAAACCTTATACCACCCGCTGAGCCGGGAAGCCTGACACAGGTCAGAATAGCCCAGAACACCAGCAGTGCTAACCAGGACGGGGGTTGGCCTAGTCCACTTAGGAGATATGCTGATTATACAAAACATTTCTCAGGCATCCTCCATCAGTGGGCCTCCTACGAACCTAGCCGTGAATTAAAGCAATCATGGAGGAAAGCCTCTCCCCCGACAGCTCTTCTTGGTGTCTAGGGAGTGAATCCCTTATTTACAAATTTTTCTCTGCAGACATAAGTGGGTGCAAATCAAACCCTTATAGGGGGTAGATAAGTCTTTCCCTCTTAGGAGGGGAATGAAGATATTAGTCCATAACAGGTTCTCTTTGACTTTAAAAATACTAAATCCTATTAGTATGAAGAATAAATGAGCATGTGCAGATCCACAAACACTCTCTAATTATCTGCTGACATATAAACTTTCTGGGTACATTCTGTCCACAAACTAAGCATTTCAAGTTGTGCATTGACATGCACTTAGGAAGGAAAAATCCAATGAACAGCTACAAATGAGCAATAACTGGCTAGGTGGTAGTACAGCTGAAAAGGATCTGGGGGTTATAATGGATCAAAAATTTTATCTGATTCTACAATGTGCTGCAGTTGCAAAAAAGGCTAATATCATTCTGGATTTATTAACAGGAGTGTTGTATGTAAGACATAGGAGGTTATTGTCTTTCTCTACTTGGAACTGGTGAGGCCTCGGCTTGAGTACTGTGTCCAATTCTGGGCGCCATGCTTGAGGAAAGGTGAACAAATTGGAGAGAGTTCAGAAGAAAGCAACAAAAATGATAAAAGGTTTAGAAAACCTAACCTATGAGGTTAAAAAAACTGGGCATGCTTAGTCTTGAGAAAAGAAGACTGAGGGGGAACCTGACAACATCTTCAAACATGTTAAGGGTTATTATAAAGAGGGCAGAAATCAATTAGTCTCTGTGTCGACTGAAGGTAGGACAAGAAGTAATGGGCTTAATCTGCAGCAAGGGAGGTTTAGGTTAGATATTAGGAAAAGCTTTCTAACTATAAGGGTAGTTAACCTGGAACAGGCTTCCAAGGGAGGCTGTGGAATCCTCATCATTGGAGGTTTTTAAGAACAAGTTGGACAAACACCTGTCAGAGTGGTTTAGGCTTACTTGATCCTGACTCAACGCAGGGGACTGGACTTGATGACCTCCTGAGGTCCCTTCCTGTCCAACATTTCTAAGAATTTATGTGCCTCGAAGAGTAATAGGGACTTCCACTTTCTTTCAAAAGAAGAACCTTACCGGTTCTAGGGAAATTGTCACATCATCTAAAATTTTGACTAGACTTGGAAAAAGGTTGAGTTCAGGTCAGGCTCATCTAGTTAATAATAATAAGATATGGAGATATACCTATCTCATAGAACTGGAAGGGACCTTGAAAGGTCATTGAGTCCAGCCCCCTGCCTTCATTAGCAGGACCAAGTACTGATTTTGCCCCAGATCCCTAAGTGACCCCCCTCAAGGATTGAACTCACAACCCTGGGTTTAGCAGGCCAATACCCAAACCACTGAGCTATCCCTTCCGGCCAAGTCTGACCTAAACTTGACCACTTTCCTAATCTAGAAAAGGTCTACATGAAAGTGCCTCCATGTGTTCCATTACTACAGCAATGGGGGTACATAAATATCTGAACAGTTAGAAAGATAATCTTCTATCCCTCCCTGAGGTTTCAATGACTCTTCATCAGTAGCGGAGAATCAATTAACTTCTCAAAGACACATTTATAAAAAAAATCAACTGTAATTCACATACAAAAGATTACATTAAACTAACAGCGATGAAACAAAAAAAAAATAAAAAAAAAAAACCAGAGTTAAGGCCTGCTTCTCTCTTTGGACTTGATCCAAAGCTCACTGAAATCAATAGGAGTCTTTCCATTGCCTTTAATGGGCTTTTGGATAAGGTTCAATGTTTTTAACTCACAATTATGCCTTGGGATAGCAGGGGTGTCAGAACAATGTGTGAGGGGATTGTTGCCTATGGGCTCGAGCAGGAAATCAGGACTCCTAGGTCCCTTTGATGGTTCTGACATTGATATTTTAAGCAATTTAACCATGCCATGCCTCAATTTCCCCATCTAAAATACTTATTTGCCTCCGCATGGATGTTGTGACATTTAATATTTGCAGAGATACTCAGATGAGAAGTACTATACAAGTGCAAAGTAGTAGTATTGCTTATGTGCAGCAACATCTAGACTGACTGTCAGGATGAAATGACAGCTTTAACTGTTGCATTACATTTCTAGTGGTCAGTTTAAAGCTGAAGTTTGCAGTAATTTTAGTGTATGTAACAATAGGGAGAAGCAAACATACATGCACAGATGATTATTGTAATATTACATTTTTTCAGTATCAGTAAAACATCACAATGTTTACATGTGACCCATCAGAATGTCATGTAATAATTTCCCTGATCAACAAAAAGCAATCATGGAATACTGGTATGCGTACAGTATCTCTCACACTGTAAAATCTGAGACCATTACACTGCTTGATGGTATAACAAAATAGATTAACTATCACTTCCGAGTTGTAAGTTCAGAGTTCACAAGTATGGATAACAGAGAATGTTTAAGAAAGAAACATATTACTCAGTACATTCCTCTCTGAATGGCAGGAACTGGGGTGTACTGTGGAATTGGGGGAAACACTGGCAAACCTAAAGAAGAAAACTCAATTAGTATTCAGGTGATAGAGGCTTTTTTGGAGGTGGGGGAAGAGAAGCTATCTTGCCCCAAACTAGGGAAGTTGAAAGCTTATTTGTCAATTAAGAGATGGCAGTGTTAGCAGAGTTTAAACCATAATGACTTACCGAGAGAATTCCTGTTTACCTCTTGCTTCTTCCCAGAACACAGTTGAAAATCTTAGAGTTGTTATAACATTTTATTATCATTTGCAAAACAGATTCTAAATTCATCAGATAAAGACACAATTGTATTCATTGACTCTGTCACAAGGATATGCACAGTGATAAGCATACAGATGGATGTACACACTTATACATGAATGAGATATGCTAATTAAAAATTGCAGTGGGCACTTTATTAAAAATTTATTGTACAATCTAAATCTTCAAAACATTTTACATCAACAAATATAGCAGCCTAATGCTTAGAATCATAAGTGATTTATCTTTAAAAGATTATATTTGTAACTGAATGCAAAGATTTTTGATGAACTGCAGTTACATAAAAACTACTGGTTTTTATTGGAAGTATTTTGACTGTTATCTGTTTGTTCTCCATCCTTGAGAGAAATAAAACAAGTGTTTTAGCTTTCATTTTATCGGATAGATGGCACCATGTAGCATATTTCCCATGCTAGTTTGAATTACAGCTGTTTATCTTGCAGCTTTCTTTAAGATTAATTAAATGCAAATGTAACTGTGAATCATGGGAATACCTGCCAGACCCCTTATTAATACCTTCACTTAAAAACCCTGTGCCAGAGAGTTATTAATTTGCAAAAAGAAAAGTGCTTTGCCTACAAACAATTCGTAGATGGCTGCCCAATTAGTCCAGTAGCACTCTGATCCTCCTTTCAGGCCCTGTGGCCCTTTGAGGACACAATAAGGCTCCAATGATAACCTGGCAACCTAGGTAGAAACCCAGCCAAGTGTGAGCGTTTGAAGCTGCAGTTTGGCTGCCATCATGTCGGCAAAAAGAAAGAATTCAGGCACCATGTCATCCAGTACAAAGGATAAAAACAGATTCAACCGGAAATTCAATGTGGCACCACATATGGGATACATGAGTGCGGTTATACAACAGGCCACATATTTTTTTTGAACAGTCTCCTGCATGTGATGCCGAGGACATGTGTAACCATCATAACGTCTCTAGGAATCTGTATTTAATTTGAGTTGGGGTGGTGGCAGGGATTGGAGATCTGAAGCCGCCACAGGTTTGTGGCAGATGGCTCTGTGTCAGCTATGACAAGCAGCCAGGCTCAGCTTCCTCTGCAGATTTTCTTTTCTCTCTGATCAGGTAAATATGGGCACACTCTGGAAAGTTCTACAGATTCTGCCTTAGGCTGCAAGTTTGTGACTTAGCCCCATCTGTCACAAATCTTCCCTAGGTTCTGTTGAGAGCAGAGACCTGAATTTACCACGTAGTGCTGCCCAAGAAAACTGATCCATCTCACCCTATGAGAAAAAGAAAAGGATTCAAATGAAGGAACACGAGCTGCTAAAACACAAAAGAGCTGTCCTTAGTGTGAACAAAACAACATACATGCTTGATTAATATAGAACTATTTCATTTCTTCAGAGGTAGAGTCTGAAGTAGTGCAGATAGTATAAATACTACTGTAAACCAGGGTCAGAAAATCCTGCCCTCTGATTGGATCAAAGTATTAGACTCCCAATCTTAGGATGGAACAATTTTGTAAACAAGTGCTGTTTGCTGCAAACACCTCGCCTGATATCAGCACGTTGCTGCGCCTATGAGGCTTCATGTCTGACCGAGAACTTTTTAAATCGGAACAAAACCAGAAGATGCTTAAGTGATGATTTCATTTCCTCTCCCCAGAAAAACTTCATTTTTAAAGGGACAGTCACACGTGAAGCATCACTCTACCAAAAGGAACTGTGCAGTTTGTTTTAAGAATGGTGCAATCATGAGTTTTAGCACAACTTGATTTACAAATATGCTTATTTTTAACGTTCACTTTCTATTAATTAATGTAAACAGCAGGGGCCGGAAAGTCCAGAAGACTAAGAAAGGGATCTGATGCCTGCTCTTCACCTAAGCCACTGGTTCAAATCTGATCCAGGTCAGTAGTGACTCAGTTACTGATTTTTTTTTTTTTTAACGATCTACAGGAAATTATTTGGCAGTCTCAGTTTATTTGCTATTAGACAAGTATTCATGCCAACAAACAACTGTAAGTGTGGTTGGCAGTCTCAGCAGAGGTGCTGTCAAGGACTGAATGGGCAGGAAGACCAGACTCTCTCTCCCACCTTTAGACAGGGCAGACCATGGCAAGGGCATTATCTGGAAGTTTATTGTGTGTTGTGTTACTATCAGTTCTGTGGATGGAAGACTTCAGTCTCCAGTATTTTTAATCTATCATTTTTCACATGCACTAAACTCAATTTAAATATTTTTTGAAGTAAAATTGGCAGGACTGAGTAGCAGTAATGTGGATACTAGTCCTGATTTGACCAGACTAGTCCTGATTTTTTGGCCTTTATTTCATAACAACCTGCTGTAGGATACAAATAAATTATAATGTCCTTCTCCATTGTGTGTACATCAGTGGAAGTGTGTTTGGGTTTTATGGTGTTCTGATAAGCCATTACCATTACACAACTGAATATTTGTGTGGTTTTTGTTTGTTTGTATAAAACTGCAAAGGCTCTCACTGGTTGTTATTCAAAGGAGTGGAATATGAGTCAACCAAAAGTTCCTAAACCACCAATGGCTGAGTTGGGGGGGGTAGGGCGGAAGAATTGGTACACTTCCAAGCTCCACCCACAAAACAAGCTCCTCCCAACTGGAGGCATGAAAACAAGATTTCACTAGTAGAAGAGTAATTTTCCATAACACAATGGACTCCCTTCTTTCTTGCATGATTTTATCAACAATGAAATAATTAACAGTGCCACTTAAACTATCATCATTAGACTCCAGAGTTAACATTTCATTCAAATTAAGAGTGCCATTTCACCCTATTCTCAGAGCTATTACTTCAGGATATCTGCAGATTCAGGTAGACAGCGCTGCATCAGTTTTTTGCTCCATTAACATTTTTAATATTATCTTTGCAACCATAAGAACTAAAGTTTATTTAATAGGAAAGCTGACATTGGGAGCACAATATGCCAACATTCAAGAAAACAGCAGTTCACTAAACCACTTTGAACTGGCTCAGTTCAAACCCTGTAAACCACCTTGTCCTCTTTTTTAAAGTAACAATTAGGTTGAGAAGAATCTAAGAGGACAAACTTGACCAATGCAGTAATTACCTTTGGAACTCAACATTCAAATACACCAAATGCTTTTGGAAACAAGTGTTCAAATACTGGGTCTGTGACTTGGCTGCTTTTTGAGGCATGAGGCTAACTGCCTTAAGCCATCTGAGAAGTACACCAGACATCTTCCAATGTACAAACCAGCATGGCTTGTAATTCTTTGCTCATTAATTTTAACATTTCCTTCTTTTCTCCATGTTTTAACAATCAATTTTAGGGTGCAGGCTGATGCATCGTCTGTTCCCTGCTATTGTTATAATATAAAATACTTTTAAATCAGAATAACAATATCACAGATAATAAATAAAACCACCTGGAATCAAAAAGTAGCCTGTCTATCCTACACAATCCAAATGACATGACTTTGTGTGAATCACCTTTCCTTGCTTGTTTGTATATTTCTAACAAGGAACACAATGGAACATCTAAGTAACTGAGAAACTAAAGACAAATCTTCTCTCACCAATCTATTAGAATTCTTTGAATGTGACATTAAAGTAATGGAAAGGGAGAACCAAGTAGATATAATTTACTTAGTCCTGGTCTAACACTGGGAGGTGTCGGGGGGAAAGATCTAAGTTACGCAACTTCAGCTACATGAATAATGTAGCTGAAGTTGACGTACTTAGATCTACTTACCGGGGCATCTTCACTGCAGTAAGTCGACTGCTGATGCTTCCCCGTCGACTCTGCCTGCGCCTCTTGCTCCAGTGGTTTACCAGAGTCGATGGGAGAGCACTCAGCGGTCGATTTATTGCGTCTTCACTAGACGCAATAAATCGACCCCTGCTGGATCGATCGCTCTGGAGGTAAGTGTAGACATGCCCCTAGACTTTGACAAAGCTGCTCACAAAACGTTACTGAAGAAACTAAGTAATCATGGGGTCAGAGGCAAAGTGTGGTCATGAATCAAAAAATAGCGATGAGACAGGAGACAAAAGGTCAATTTTTGTCACAGCAAAAGATAGCACCGGGTTTTCTCAAAGTTCCATATTACGTCTGATGTTATTTAACACTTATTATTTCTTTATTAATCTAGTGAAGGTGGTGAGTAGCGAGGTAGCAAAATTTGCAGATGACACAAAATTAATTAGAAGACTACGAGGAACTACAGAGGGATTTAACCAGGCTAGGTGAATGGACAACATGGATGGTAGAAGTTTAACCTAACTGTCAGGGTGGTTAAAGACTGGAATAAATTGCCTAGGGAGGTTGTGGAATCTCCATCTCTGGAAATATTTAAGAGTAGGTTAGATAAATGTCTATCAGGGATGGTCTAGACAGTATTTGGTCCTGCCATGCGGGCAGGGGACTGGACTCGATGACCTCTCGAGGTCCCTTCCAGTCCTAGAATCTATGAAGTTCATTATTGATAAATGCAAAATAGTGCACATGAGATAGAATTATTTGAACTACACATATACCTCACAGGGTTCTAAATTAACTTTATCAGCTCAGGAAAAAGGATGTGGTGAACATTGCGGACTGCTCATTAAAGACCTCTGAATGTTCAGCTATGGTCAAAAAAACTAACAAGACATTTGGATGCATGAAGAATGGTATGGAAAATAATACAGAACATGTTGTAATGCCATTGTATTAACTGATTACATGGTTTCATCTGGAATACTGTGTGTAGTACTGGTCATCCCATTTCAAAAAGGATTGAAAAGATTGGCATTATTTACCTTAGAAAGGAGACAAATAAGAGTGGACATGATAAAATATATATATATATATATATATATATATATATATATAATGAATGTCAGAGAAGTGAGATTGGAGGCGTTTATTTTCCCTGTTCCACAACACAAAACAAGGGGACATTCACTAAAATTGAAAGGTGGGAAAATTCAAAACTAATAAAAGGAAATACTTTTTCACTCAACGTATCCTTATACTGTGGAACTCATCGCCATAAGATGTAGCAAGATTCTAAGAGTGATTGGATGTTTATTCAGATAACAGTAATATCCAGAATTATAATAGTAAATTAGAGTTTTGGGAAGGGACATAAAACCTCATGTTCCAGGGTTTAAGCAAATCTCTAACTATTAGAGATTAGTATGACACCTTGGGTGGGAATGTCACGTGCAGATTATTCCACATCTGCCTATGGTGGGGTTCTTAGACTTTCTCAGGCATCCAGTGCTGGATGCTTTGAAGACAGGATACTGGACTAGATGGACCATAGATCTGATCCAATATTGCAGTTCCTATGTTCATAACAGGATAGTTTCTTCTTCGCCTTTATGTGGGTGAGCAACTTATTTTTTCATGGGGGAGGGGAGGAGTGATTAAGGAGAAAAGCTTTCCCATGCTCTTGCATGACCTGTATAAGAGCTGCATAGAACTGCAAGTCTCTGCTTTCCAGTGCTACTCTTCTGGGGGTGAATGACACCCCAAAAAGAGCAAGAACAGCCCACACCATGTTCATAGCAATGAAATTAGCCAGCTGTGCACTGGAGAGGGCAGGTATATGTTGCACTCCGTGCAGGTGTGTGACTGGTTTTTGTGCACCTCCTGGCACTCCCTCTAAGCCCGCTCAGCCTGCAACACCTAGCTATGCCTAATTAGGAGAGCTGGTTGGGAAATGGTTTTTGAGATTTCAACAATTTTTTCTGCCTTAAATTGGGACAAAGAAAAAAACCTCAGAAATTTTCATGGAACTGAAATCGTGAAATATTTCATTCTAGAAACAATATATGCTCATAAGGAGCCCTGGCTGTCTACCTGGCAGGCTGCAGAACAGGTAGGGACCCTGGAAGCCCTGGCAGCTGCTGAAACTGATATGATTCTTGTCAGTTTAACTGCTGCCCATTACAGTGTTAAAACTGAACAGACTCTTGGTGTCAAGTGAACAAGAGACTGACCAGTGTTGCCACTGGGCAGCAGTAAAACTGACAAGAATCATGTCATGCCAGTTTCTAGTCGGCAGCTTCCAGGGCTTGCAGAGGCTCCAGCTCCATATCAGCCAGGCTAGTGGGCTGCCAGAGCAGATGGGCCTGGAAGCCAGGAAGCCCTGTGTTCTTGGTAGCCTGCATGGGAGGTTGAAAGGGAACTGGGAGCCTGGAAACCCTGAAAGTGCAAGCTCGCAAGCTTTGAGGTTCTGTTGTCCATCAGAAATTTGTCAAAATCAAACCATTGCCAAAAAACAGTTCATTTTCGATTAACTGGCAAATCCTGACTAAAAATGATTAATCAGATTTTTTTCTGATTAGTTCTACAAAATAGCATGATTGGGCCATCAGACTGTAAATTACTCAGGGCAGGGGAAGGAGGCCTGACTGGGATCTTACTTACTTAAACTGGTTTCACACCAGTGTAATGCCACTGACTTCAGTGGAGGTACTCCTGATTTAAACTGGTGTAAATGAGATAAAAATCAGGAAATGTGTCTTTTCATATGCATGTAATGTACTCTTGTGGTGTTACAGAAATAATAATAGTAATATCAGAAAATGGGCCAAATTCTGCTCTCAGTTAAACTGATATATGAATGAATTTGCCTGTATGAACTGAAGTTGATAGAAAGCCTAGCTGGGCTCATTAAGCTGGCATTGGGAGCTGATGCACCATTGTTATTTGTTTAGTTCTGACTGTGAGTGTACTGGCTTAGAATACACAAAAACAAAGACCAACTTTTAGCTAAATAAAACAAGAGCAGAGCAAATAATTGATCCATTATTTTTTGACACAACTATCCCCTCTTCATCTGTTAATCAATTGTGGGATGGAGCATTCAAGTTAAAATGAGCTTTCAGTGCCATTAAAGTATAAAGGGTAAACAGTGTGTACCATGAAAAGTCCTTATTAGGTACTTACGATACTTATGTATGTTTTAAAAATACTATAAATATGTATTTATGTAATGTACAGTTCACTGTTACAGTCTATTGTGTTAGTTTGTTCACTTTCATGGTATTAGAGGGGAGATTGCTTGTTTGAACTTCCATTAACACAAATAGTGACACTCCAGGCCTTGTGTTCTGGTAGATATCAGCTTTACTTGGGCATTCAGAGGTACTTGGCTTCACTTTATACTTCACAGTGCACCCAAGACTTATTCAGAACACAGCCTTTGGTGTCCTAAATTTTTTAAGTTGATTGCCTTTTTTGTAACAAGTATCATTCTATCTTCCTTTGCCTCTAACTTTATAAGTTGGCACAACCACTGCATATAATCGACAGAATAATGCAGTAATGTATTTGACTACTTTCGATACTCTTAATAAATACAATGGCAACAAAAATAAGCAGAAAATGTAAGCAAAGGCTTATTTCTATTTCAAGACTTATGAGACAATGTCTAAAATGTAAAGGAAAAATATTCTTTTTGCTTTTATAGAGTTTTTATGTCTCTTTGTAGGAACAGACAGCTGTATTTTGAACTTCTAGTAATGGAGCATGCCAGAAAAGGTTATGAAAGAAGAAAAAAGGAGCAAGTTGCCATATCAGATCTCTTTTCTCTCTTTCCCTGTATCTCTACTTTACATACTGTATATGGACTCCTAAATGTAAAGCAACTAATATCTGTGAATAAGCTTGTGTATGCCCCAGATGAGTTCACCGCTGAGGTATTGTTTACTGCTAGTTTCAACTGTCTGAAGAAGTATTTCATTTACAACACATTTCTAAGTGGATATTCTTTCAGAACCTTTTAATGGTAGTTTATTTGCAAAATAAACAATTCTTGTATATTTGGGTCTATGTGTATTCACATTCTCAGAGCCTGATCCAAAGCCCATTAAAGTCAAAGGGAATCTTTTTACTGACTGTCACGGGCTTTGAATCAAGCTCTGGTTTTGTAATTCTAAAATGATTTTTTTCCCAGTCCTTCCAGTGCTACTTGTTTCAAAAACTACTACAAATGCTTAAAACTTGCAAATACTCAGTTGCAGGGTTAATAATGTGCAACTTGAAGTGATGTGATAAACTGCTCCATTTCTGTGGTGGCACTTTACTTGTAACTCATTCACCAAGGAGTGTTTTTTTTTCAAAAGGAGGCACTGGACGCAAATGAAGCATTTTGCTTATGGGGCTGTGTACACATTCCTCTCTGCACCATACTTTGATATCATACCCTTCTAGTATCAATGTTTGTTCTGCCACTATGTCCATTTTCAGCATCCTAGCATTCCCTTTATGCAGGAGCTAGGGATCCATATGCATAAGGTAGATCCATGTGAAAGAAAACTGCTAACTGGACGCAAAAAATTGGGAAATGACAAGGTAAACATTTAAGAACTGTTTCCCTTTGAAGTCTCCATGTATAGTACTGACTCAAGAAGTAATGCTGAATACTGGAAGTGTTCAGTCAGCATTTTAAACTATTATGAGCTACCTTCTGAACCATTGCCAAGTTAATAGACAATGAAAGATAATGAGCTTGAAATTGGGTGTTAAATTGCATTTTTGGTTCTCTCCTTTTTTACTTGAAGTTTAACTGTTTCCTGCAGAAACAACATCTTCTTTTGATGTATCATTATGTAAATGACTATTTTTAGGTCACAAAATAAGTCAAACGTACATTCAGGACTAAATTATACCTCCTTCTGCATGGGTGTGCTAAAGGAGGGGAGGGGGCAGGTGATGCATGCATTGAGAGGCCAAGCATTTTCTGGTTCACAGTGCAAGGAGCATGGGGATAGGGGGATGAGTGCTGCTAGTAGTATTAGTGGCCCAGGTTAGGAGAGGTCTACTTGGCAGGTCCACTACCCGCATGCTGGGGTGGCTACAGAGAAAAAGAGAGCACTTGCTAACCCTGTTGAACAGGTATCACAAGGGGCACCTCTATCCATGCTCCTCCAGACCTCTAAAGATGTTGGGGAAACTTTTAAAAGTGCTTATGTGATTTAAGAGTCTAAGTCCTATTGACTTTCAACAGGTCTCAGGCTCCTAAGTGACCTAGATGTTTTTTAAAATGCTACTTGTTATGCCTTTATCACGCTCAGGAAATGTGCCTTGCGCCGGTCCCCAGGGCACCTGAGGCTTGTAAGAGCCCTAATTTAGCACTCAGTGTTGTAAATGTTCACATTAGCACATGTAAAAATAATAGCTATGTTATCAAAACATCACCATGTGATAATAGGTTATTAGTGAAATAATGTAAAAATCAGTACATGTTCTACAAACACATAAATAAAAAAAAGTTTAATTACTACCATGGTGTACAAATGCATCTTAAAAATCTGAAAGCAAGTTTAGCATAGACTAATGGATCAGAATTTTATTGGTCAGTCCAACAATTGAAACTTTTATTTCTTTAAAGAAATCATTGCAAAGAATAATGGTGGGATAAATATTAGTAAATGATGCTTTCAGTAAACTTTCTTCTAAATTCTTCATATAAGAAATTATAAGCACATTAAGAATTAACTTTTACTTCGTTTAAACTTTTAATATAAAGAGTTAAATATTCACAATAATTGCCAAAATAGTTCCAAAAGGGGCAAAAAGAACTTACCTGATGTCATTCACCTCGACTTCTTGAGGACTGCAGATTAAATTATGATAGGAAGGTAGGTTTATCCTCATTAGTATAATTGTAGGATCTTTCTTTTACTTTCCTTTTAAACTAATGAGTTACATTAATCCAGGTTCATTTTTATAAGCCTCTTGGGTCCAAATGTAAAGGACAGTCATTTTAGAAAACAATAAATTTTAAAAAAAGCATGTAGCATGCATTAAGTGTATGTATTTCATAAGACCTAGGTTAATACAACTGGCATCTAGTTTAATTAATCCTTGTTAGTGTAATAACTAATATCCCTCCCTAGCATGTTTCCTTTAAACATTAGTATGTTAATTAAATGTTGTTGTTTTTTTAAGTTTTTTTCTTTGTACTTCAATATGGCATTATATCTTGTAAAACTATTCTGAACAACTACCTTATAGAGATGTTTCCTTACAATATCTGGTCTCTTGCAGAAATTTTGAAGCCTTTTTAAAAGCTGTTCAGGTGTAGAATACAGATATTCAGCTGCAGGAAAAACAGATACATTTTTAATGAAACAAAAACCTCAAAGCACACACTCGATATTAGTCACTTTACTAATTAAAAATGCATATTGCTCTGTGCCGCCTCGTGTTTTACATTATTTAAGCATGATTTTATAAGGTTACCTCAGCTCACAAGGATGTTTAATGCTAAATAAGACTGTGTAGTTGTGCTGTTTAGACATCTCCTTTGGGTGATTAAAATACATTATTCTAATGTAACACAATGCATATGTGATACATTTAGTGATGAGATTTTTCAAAGAACTGGTACTATATTAGTGTGTATCCTGTACCACAGTTGCATATTATTAAGTATTAAATGTTTAAATAATTTGGTGTGATTTTCAGGCCTCTATTTTTCTCTCTGTATATCATTAACAAAATCTGCAAGCCATTGCAGCAGCACTGACCTTTTTATAAAAATGTATCATTATGGGTTGTGTATGCTAACAATGAAGAATGCTATTTCAAAACTTGCTTTTGTGTTATCTTGAAAGAACAGATGGTAAATATAAACTTAGTCTAATGTATTAAAACACATAAAATTTTCCTTAACACTAACATGTTGGCTTGCCAAATAAACAATTGCTTTTGCTTAAGTTTATTCTCAAACTTTACATGAATCATGTATTACATTACAACAAAAAGGATGTGCATTAAAGCAGCTACCTGGAAATATTTCTGGATACACCAAAGCGTTAGGACATAGTGGATAACAACCACAATATACAGCTTCTATCCTAAAGATTAAAAATAATAAACAAATACATTAAAAATACATCAGTGAGCCAAAAAACATCTTTTGGTCCAACAGCATTGAAGTTGACTGCATAAGGCAGAAGTAAATCATTTTCCCTGTTCAGCAGTATAATCCTTCTAACTGCCAAAGTTGCTCTTTTTAAAGATAATTTTATTGATCATATGAATTACATAGAACAGAACAGCGAGCATATGTTTTGTTCGCTGAATAAATCAAAGCGCGGCTCTGCATTTTTTTGTTTTTTAAATACTGTTTAACACATTTTATAATCAGCAGACAGACACATGTAACAACATGGTGAAGTATGGACAGCTTTTCTTAATAATGCTGCAGAAAAACAAGGATATTCATGCAATAACAATTACCTGGCATAAAGTGTTTTGTTCTTAAACTATAGGAATTCAAACGTTACACTTAAACATTGTCTAAGAAAAGTGCCAAGATGTTGGGACATCTTCATTTTATACACATGCTTCAGATCATGTGATTCAGGACACAAAATCTGTATTTTTAAATAAATACTGTCAAGAACCTTTTGCCAAAGCATTTAGTGGTTTATACTGTTGTTTTCTTGAGGAATAATTTACATAACCTTCCATAATATCAAACCTAAATATTTTATAATTGCAAAAGAATGTCAGAAAGTTATCAAATAGCAAATCTAAAGAGAAATTATCATGTTTATATTTGCATTTTGATAACTGAACAGGTTAAAGTACTGAGTATTTAACTTATTCCTTCTGCACAATGACCACTGATCTGACATATAATAAACTTTGAAGATACAACTGTAATTTCTGTTGGCCAGAAATTACACAGTGAAATTCAAAGCACTTTTAAAAATATGTTTATTTTATGAAAGTCTTTGAATATATCCAACATGCTGACCAAAGAAGGACTTTATTTTTAACTTCAGCTTATTTCCTCGTCTTGTCAACAATCACTTTTTCAAATTTATAATGACAAAACACATGCATTTTAATGTATTTCTGCGCATTTTGTTTTTATTTTATTACATTCGCCTAACCTGGTTCAGAAATAATTGTTTCCTTTTGTCCTGCTAAGTTTTGGGGGGAAAAGAAAGAAAGTTTTGTTTTAAATCTGTCCTTAGCCTTAGAAGGACCAAGATACACATTTCCTCTCAAATACTTAGCAAGGTATTAATAGCTAATTTTGTCATAATAAACTTTAAACAATTGTAATTTCATGCTTTTTTAAAACAACATGCATTTCAAATTGCATTTTAAACATTAACAAAAATTTCAAAGTGTTCAAAGTCTACAACTATATTTTTTTTATTAAAGGAAAATGTTTCTAGTATGTGATTTACTTGATAATTTTTCAGTTCTTAAATGTTGTGTCAGATATCAAAACAAGTAGAATATTAAAGTTTTCTTTCATCATAAAAGAAAAAGTGAAACCATGGACATTTCAGTAATAGCTGCAGGCCAAGAAGCAATCTGAGTCATCAATTGACTATGCAACATCCCCTTACCAAAGCCTTTGTCTGCATCAGGAATTAGTAAAATTAGAATCCAATATTTCTATAGTTTGTTGGAAAAAAGTTAAGATTTGGAATTATTCTTTCATTTGCAGATGATCTTATTTACATACTAATTTTCTACCGTTACACAGTAAAAACTGAATATATTTCCTCAGAGGTTCCTGGAATGGAACATTAGCTCCTACATACTATACACCTTTCAGATCATAATTCCTAGAGTTTGAAATATATTGGAAATAACACTCGCTATATATTTTACATTGATTTTAGATTCAATATAAAAAGTACATGATCATAGCTTTCACATATTTTTGTAATTTAGCAGAAAAGTATATCATGACAATAATACAATTATTAATTATTTCAATTCTTAAGCATTACCAGTTAAATAATAAATAGAATTCCAATTGATCTATTGTTAAAATGGCTAGTAAATGACCTTTTTATTCCAATTAACAAATCGTCTGCTAAATCTATGAATCTTAATATTCAGATCTATTCACTTCAATTCATACAATTTATCTGCAAATAGTTGTTGGGCTTTTGATTCTAAATATAATTAGCTGATAATTTTGCTTGGCTGAATTACTTTTCTGGAGGGCCTGCTAAGGCTCTCAGTCGCATTATCTAGCAATAATGAATCTGATAGGTGAAATTTTTTACTGTAATGAGGATGAGACACAGTTGTGACACCTGAGTCTAGTAATAACAGAAGACTGCTAATTATCGACAGCACTTTTTTGTGTGATGCACAGAGAAAAAAAATCCCTCATTATTAAAAAATAAAAAGTTACAATTATAAGTGACACCGGAGGAGAGTAAATAAAATGGAGTGATTAAAACATTGCTGCTTTAAGGGTGTTTTTAATTAAGTGGAAATGCTAATGTTGTCATACTTAGCAGATGGGATTAAAATTAGTTATTGTAAGTAACTCATATTTTATGTTATGGTTTCCGCAGCATGTCTACAAGATCTACGAAAGTGATACATTCCATAAGACATTTAAAAAATGAAATTCTCATAGTCTTTACAACTCATAATAATGAACATCACGAATAAACTATTGAAAAAAAAAATCCTGCCAAGGACTTAAATAGTGTGGAATGTAACCAGAATGTATTGGACTGCTAGAATCACACTGCTGGTCTGCCTTTTTCTTTTGCAGATTATTACATTTCATATTTCCTTCAAACTCGATAATAACAAAGTTTGGTGTTTGGGCAGGCATCCAACTTCAAATGTGGTGTCAAGAAGGTAGGGATCTGGTGCAAGGAAAGATGATGACCACCCACCAAGGTGATGTTCTAAACTAAAGCACAGGATGCATCATGTAACTGCAGATAAAAACCTAATTGCACACTTTCTCCTACTTTATTTGTGTAAAATTTTCCATCTGCTACATCTAAAGATGTCTAAACTGTTAGTATCAAACCTGCATTCAGCTGCCAGCTGTGCACATTAAGGATTGCAAAACACTAAGTAAATGAGGCAGCATAAAACCGAGTAGTACTGGTCCATCTGCCCAGTACTGGTAGGGACCCCAATACCTGGTCCTTTTAAAGCACCACACTGCTGCTCAAATTGATAAGGAAGAGACTTAATAACATGCCTTAAGAGTCTTGGTTTAGAATACTCAATTTGCATTTGCTATCATGACTTCTAAGTATCGGAATCTGCCTACTACTAGTACAAGTTAATGCTTTTCATCTCTCTTTCAAATGCTCTTTGAAGAACTTTTAATGAATGAAAATTAACATCTATAATTTATAGTATTTGCTGTCAAGTTTCTAAACAATTCATGGTAATATTTTGCAGATAAGTTTTAAATAGTATTTTTGAAAATTATTTCCACTGTACAATTTTCCCATTTGTTTGGGGAACCACTGATTTTATAAATAATATTATTAATGACTAAAGCACTTATCATTTATATAGTGCTTTCAATCTTCAAAGTGCAGTACAGACATTAATTAATTGATTTTGTCTTTGCTGCTTCA